ATATATATATATATATTTCGTACCAAAGTCTTAAAGTTTTATTTTAGACTAATTTAACTTGGTTGATAGATAAAATTTAATCAAAGATTATTTTTGCTAACGATCAAACTCAAATACTACTTGAACGATTTGACTTCAATTTCAACACTTTAGTTATTTATGTCTAACTCTTTAGTTAAATTATGATATATCTAATTATATAATTCTAAATCACTACTAGAGTTTGAGTATCAACAAAGGAATCTAACCTAGTTGCCTTTGCAAGGTGTGTGAGCTATTGTAAATTGCTATATCTGATTCATATATAAATTTACTAGAAAATTGCTTGTTACATAAATAAATTGCTATATCTGATTCATTAAAAGCCTAAAAATGATTGAATAATGGTGACTAGATTATATCCTAAAGCCAGTCACGACAGATGATATATATATATACAATTGCCGGACTGGGACTTGCATGTAAATAACAAAAAGCAAAGGCAAGACGAGGGAGAAGTTTATTTTAGACCATACAGAAACAAATTCTTATCTATAATTGACCAAAAGAGGGAAATGAAACCTTTATTCTTTTGGTCATCAGATTTCTGCAAATTGAAAGCTGAAGATAGTGTGCTTCTCAAATTGTTGAATTTCTCAGCTTCTATATAACAGATCATGCTGCAAGACAGTGTGTCGTTATATAAGTCTGGTGTTCATTCTCTGCTCATAGCAGTGTGCTTGGGGAATGGAGATGGCCTTCGCAGAAGGACTTCTTGTATCATTTTAATATGATGCTCAAGGTTTATGCCCTACAAGAGCAAATACACATGCAATTACTTGATTTACTTCCCATGCCTCTTACCTGCAAGCCAGAGCTCACATGTCAACAAGAAATGCCATGCCAACATTCTTCTTGAAAGAAAGGGGAGGGTTCATTTATGGATCATCCAATGATTAGCTTCGCAATAGTGCAGTTTAATAATCATTCAGTGATTTCAAGTATAAGCACAAAAGTGAGGGAGAAAAGAGAGGACAATAATGTAACCAATTGCTTCTTTTCTACGTAACTATAAGCTTGATATGTCTGTTATACCTCTCTGAAACCATGATCTCCGGACAGTTTGCCGGATGTGACGTTCATGCTTTTCCAATAGCTCATCAACTGTGTGCATTTGAGATAGTAGGGGTCCAGAAAATTCAACCTTTTCTCCTTGATCTTGAAAACTCTGCAACCATAGCAATGAATAAGAATTATGTCTATGAAAGGAGACAGATTGTATAGTTGACATTTGGGCCAAGAATTTGATACAGGTAGGACAAAGCACAGTAAGGTGAACAAATTCCTACATAAAACTGAAGAGTATGAGCTTTGTCATGTATTGATCCACTTATGATCATATGATGAAAATACCTGAGAAATTTTATGTTAAAACAATATACTATTATCCCAGTTTGAATTTGGTCCCTCATCTCTGCTATGGCCAATATCTTTGACAAATTAAAAAGTCAACAAAATCAATTTCTTTATCTAAGAAGGAAATCACTTATTTAAACTGTCACCTATGAAGAAATTAAGTTATTGACAAGTCACTAATCATGAACAATGCCAAATGCCATTATTTCAACAAAGTTTGTCGTTCTTCTTTTCATACTTTAATGTTTCAATTAGTTTCCTACACCGTAATAAATTTCTAATTCCCTCTTTCATATAGTAAATCATACCAATCTCTATTCTCTATACAGACAGACACAATAATATGCATTAAGAGTCACGTAAGCTCCATTACATATCTCACAGCAGATGACATCTCATGTTTAATACCATATAAAAATCCGGACAACTTACAAACTTACCAGGTTACTTCTCTTGGATGATGAATCTTCTCTGTGATAAAGGGCCATAGACAATTCTTGCGAGTGGTACTCATCTGAAGCATCAAATGAATCTGGGCGATCAAACTTACTCCACTGATTCTGCATTGGAAACTTCGGAATTTCAAGTATGTCATGGCCCCTAGATTTGGGGTATGCCACACAAAACTCCTTATTTTCCTGGTTTGTGGTGTCCAAATTATTCCTTGAATTTAATGTAGAAGGTTCTAATGGATTGAAAATATGTCCTCTTGAAATAGTTCGACAGTGGGATCGAAATGAAGTGTCATCTTTACGGCTTTTTGCCCATGCAAAGCCACTTGATGTTGAAACTTGTAATGGTCCAGAAAGGGGAATATCTCCTGGAGATGCATTCTTCATATGGGAAGCATCTTCAGGTTTACCACTGGATAGCTTTTGTGCCTTGTCACCTATTTTAGTCTTCTCTTCTTCAAGGACGCGGAAAGACCTACCATTGACCTTTTGTGAAGTCTGAGTCCGACTTGCCAAATCCTGTAAGAGCAATCTTCTGTGTGAGAATTGGTTTACGGTAATTTGACCATTCCTGTAACCAGTGTGCATGCACATAAGAAGAAACGACAAGATGCAAAAATAGTAAGTACGATAGACCTCTGCAGGGGCTAGTTTGTTGAATCCTAGTGGCTTTCTTGATGGTTTTCTGGTTTCAGTTCCACGAACTCGTCCACTAATCTTTTTCCTGAAAGTCCATCACAGTATGATATAATGAAAAAATTCTAGAACAATATACTAGTTATGCTTTTGAAAATGTAATTTGTAAAGAATAAGTTATTTTAGTTTTATTTTGTCAAAGACTGTTGAACTATTCACTGCATCACTGCATCTTTTCAATTTCAAATCCTTTAAAGATGTAAAAAGGGCAGCCTAGTTCAGGCTCCCACTTAGTGGTCGGGGGAAGGTAGAAGTGCGTAGCTTTACCCCCGCCAAGCACAGAGACTGTTTCTTAACACTGTACCAACCAAGGGCAGAGCAGAGTAACATTATGACGTTTCTTAAAAACATTTGAGGCTAGTTCAGTTAAACATAATTTGCTACCGAGAAAAAAAATATATTGTTACCCAAAATTTTGTTGACTTATTATTTTTTATTGTGATTGTTAAATATTGACAAGTTGAGACTTTCCTGTAACATTTTTAAGTTTTCATTCTTTTGGATTTTTATAGTTCATATAGCTTGGCTATCCCAATAAATATTTTCTATTTCTAGCTCTGCTCCTGGTGCCAAAGGTTTGCCTTAAAAAAGATTTCTCAATAAAATAACCCATAGAAAAATCGAGAAGATAAAGAAAGATGGAGAGCATAAAACAGTATGGATTAATCCTATCTCACTTGGAAGTTGGAACAGGCCTTAGTTCTCTAATGAGTTCATGTTATTCAAGCACAAACAACACTGTTTTGTTTTTTTAGTCTTCTTAAAGCATATAGTTCCAGTAACAATAGTTGACTTACTTTTAATCACTTCAACGTTAATGTACTGCACAAGTATGTACATTCAAATGATTTTCAGAAAATGAATAACCATTTCTACTCTCTCCCTGAGGCCAAAACTAGACCCTGATAAAGTTTTCAAACAAAAAAAAATGGTTTCTAATGGATTGGCTTATGAAATCAACTCAACCAAGTGAAATGCACATGCACACATCCTCTTATTTTGACCATACCAGATAAGAGGTAATCCAGAGACATCTGTTGAATATGTGACAACCTAAAGCTTCATTTTCCAATAACTCTGTAAAATGAACAGCGAAAATCAGCCTCACCTTGACTCCTCCCTGTGTTTTGCATCGATTTCCTTGCTAGGTGGGTATATCGGCAAGCTTGATGGATCACACGCAAAAGGTCTTGTTTTGAAATACTGAAAGTAGTAAGGTCTTTGTATCAGTAGACAAGAAAGAGATCCATATCATATTTCCATGATTCATAGTAGTCATGGGTTTGCAGATAAATGATGAATGGCTTTGTATCCAGGACTAATGTCATTAAATGAAATTGATACTATTGATATCCCCTCAAAAAATGGGCAAGAGTCAACAGACAGTGTTCAAAAAGAAAGACTAATTTTATACAGAAATTAGGGTCTGTTTGGTTTAAAAAACATTTTCTGTTTTCATAAATAATTAAAAGATGTCACCTTATTTTCACTATGTTTCAAAGATTTGTACAGAAAATAATGTAAACAACAAAATCCTCGTTTTACGGTTTTCCGATACAAATCTTTGAAAAGGAGAAACAAAATGAAAACAAGAAATTTTTTTTGTAATTATCTATGAAAATAGGAAACATTTTGTTAAACCAAATAGGCTGAACATCTCAAATTAACCACAAAATGAATTTCAGGAATGAATTTCCAACAAATACAGAATTAACCTACGTCTGATGAGAGAGCAGATGTGGCAGTCCCACGTTTGTATGGTTCTACAGAAAGAAGAGTTTGTAGCAGATGTACACTGGTCGCTGGGATATCTTTAAAGGATTGTCGAAGGCAACTATCATATGGTTGCTGTGGCTTAAATAAAGTTGCATGAGGAAGTCTGGTCTTTTTCCAATATTCATCAGGTGGGGAGCCACAGAGCTTGAAAATTTTGTGCAATTGTTCAACCTGCATACGTAACAAAAATGAATTTAAGTCTCAAAATTACAAATCATAGTGTCGGAATTGTCATTTACAGTTGATTCGTTTATTAACCATAAACCGATTAGCATTCGGTCTATCATTTTATGAAGCGATTTTCATAGTGAATCACTTCCTACTATGAAGATTAGACCAAACCAGATCAAACCTTCAGCTCTGTTCAATATTTGGCAGCTAAAACATGGAATTTGAAATTTACAATGCAACTCTGATACAGTAAAACGTAAGAATCGGAAAACAAATGCTATAATCATTATTTGAGCGAGAAATATATTTAAGATTGTCGCTTTTTTCAGAGAGAGAGAAAATGGTGAGACTGATATCTGGTGAACATGCAGTGTAAGGGCTCCGTCTCGAGAGTCAATAAGTTAATTTTTTTTCTTCTAACTTAGGCTAACTGGGCAACCTAGAACCTGACCTAATTCCTAAGTCAAAATTTCTGGGGTTCAGTTTGAAAGCTGCATATTGCTTAATGAGATCACATCCAACTCTTTTTAATTGCCATGGACAATAACGATTGACCAAATGATGTGCACATTAATTTATAAAAACACTTGTAATTGAACTGCAATCCAAAAGCTTCTATATAAGCATGAAGGTATGGTGAAAAATAAAGCACCGGTATTCTGAAAAGGGAAATGGAATCTTTACCGTTGGAAGAAGAATGATAGGATATCAAAAGTTAGTGAACTGAAATCTATGTGCACCTAGCTGCCAAATTCTAAGTAGTTTGAAATTACACATAAGCTTGACAAAGAAACTCAAACATTCATGCCATTACAGCCAGCAGCGATTTCATATCAGTTGCTTCCTTGGGGGTTGAGGTATTATCATATTTCTTCATTCTTATACATATTAAAGTTATTCAAAACATACCATATAGAACTCATCCTAATAGGTTTGCCATTATCTTTTTCTACTAAAAATGTGATCCATTTCACTACACTAACATGCGCCATGACATTGACAGGGCAGTCCATTCATTTTGGAAAGGCCAATACCTCTGTTCTCCCCTGAAGTATAGGCTTCCCGACAAGCAGCTCCGCAAACACACAGCCAACACTCCAAAGATCCACGGTCGGACCATAATCTGTCGAGCCAAGCAAAAGCTCCGGCGGCCGGTACCACAAGGTGACAACACGACTAGTCAGAGGTTGCCCGTGCCCAGAATTGACATAATTCGCCAATCCAAAATCCGCCACCTTCAAAACCCCTTCATTATTCACCAAAAGATTCGACCCCTTAATGTCCCTGTGCATCACTCCCCGCAAGTGACAGTGCTCAAGACCAGCCAACAACTGCTTCATGTAGCACTTAATCTGCACACACAACAAAACAGCTCCATCCATTCAACAACCAAACTATAAACAATACTGCTCCACATAACAACACTAAAATACATTGATTATTATTATTATTATTATTACTAGAAAAAACTTAGATATAGTATCCTAGTTACTTTTAGTACTCTTTAATCAGAATTAGTGTCTCATCCCAGTGACCCATATTGAAATTCTGAAAATTTAGGTTTTGAATTTAATTCAATCCAAAAGACTAGTTCATCATGTTAAGATTATCCTCCAATTACATTCTATATATTGTAAAAAACGTAAAATGTCTAGCGCAAAAGTTGTAGGATTAGACATATTCAAGTGGTCTCCTAAAGTTAACAATTACTATTATAGATTCTGATGATATCTTAAAATTTCAATATTTGAATTACATAAAAAAATTAAGAGATTGTCTAACATAAAATTTATTTAGATACAAATTTATAAATTTTTTAAAAGTTTATTTATTAAAATATACATTTTTTTTCATCACAAAAATTCTTCAAAATTTATATTTAAAGATAATCTTAAATATATTTAATTATATCACCAGTTATGGTAGAATATCCTATACACATGTGACACAAACTTAATCATGTAAAAAGATTAGAAAACGACAAAAAAAAAAAAACGGATCCGGATCCTCTGACTTTGAGATATCAAAGTTCTGGTAATTTAACACATCTCAATCGTTGGATTTGTAATAATAGATCAGATTGTGACACATGTATAAAATATATTTTAACTTAAATGTACACGTGTCACAATCTGATCTACTATTATAAATCTAATGATTTAAATGTGTAAAGTTACCCTAACTTTCCCCTTCAAAGTCAGGGGATCTATTTCCAAAAAAAAAAAAAAAAACACAGAAGAAGCTGCATCATCTCTGATTCATTAAAATTATTGTTAGTTTATTACCTGCGGTTCAGTGAACTTGATGTCAGGGGAAGACAAGAGCCCTGTAATGTCATGCTCCATGTACTCAAAGACAAGGTAGATGCTGCACGACAACCTCGAAGTAATCAAGCCCTCGAGCTTTATAACATTGGGATGATGAAGCCGCCGCAGAATCATAATCTCACGCGCCATAAACCGCACACTCTCCGGTTCGAAGTTATCGAACCGCACCTTCTTCAATGCCACTATCTTCCCCGTCTCAATCTCCCTCGCACGAAACACGCTACTATACGTTCCCTGCCCTATCTGTCACCATCAAATCCAATAATCACCACTAATTAATCAACCAATCAATCAATTAATTAATTACCTAATAATAACTGTAATTAGGTTAAGGTAGTTACTAGTACTTAATAGTTTCACCTTCTCGAGTTTTTCGAAGGCGTCGGCGCGGAGGGGGAACCAGCCGTGAATGGCTTCGCCGGCGACGGCGCTCAGCCACGCCGGCCAGCCGGCGGCCACGTGTTCTCCCTGCACGTACTTTTGGAGGTTCCCCAACCTGAAGCTGAGCGAGTCGCAATTCGAATTCGAACTCGTTCTCCCCGACTCACCTACCTCGCTCTGACTCGCTCCGCCTGACTCGTTCCTCTTCCTGTTCCGCTTTTCTTTCCTCTCCGACTCGCCCAAGCCGGCGGCATTGGCGCGAAAGGCGCCGGAGTGGTCAATCGCGGGCGTCACCGACACCGCTTGCTTCGAACTCACGCACCCCATGGATCCGGGTCGGATCCTCGACCCAGTTCAAATAACAACGACGCAGCGTGCGCCTCCGCGTTTTATAGTAGAAAGCAGAAAGTGAGGGAAACGCAGAAACGGAATGTCGCTTTGTGTTTCTGAGTTCTGAGTCTGCTGCGACAATTGCGGGGGAAGACTGGGAGAAAAAAATAAAAAATAAAAATAAAAAAAGAAGAAGGATTTAATGAAGAAGGAGCATTAATAGTAATTTATAATTAAGAAAATAAAAAAAAAATATGCGGTTTGTTTGAGTTTATACTTTATATTCTGTGGGATTGTTTGTTTGCATGGGGTTGGATTTTTGGAAGCGCGTGGTGGCACGTGACCCTGTAGTGGATGCGATTCCATTTGCTAATTGCTAATGATTATGAATTAATTTAATTTTGCTTCCACACTGCTTGTTGTTGACTTGAAGGGTACTTGATTCCTTTTTTAATTTTAAATTTTGGGGGTTTCATTTCACCACTTCACGCCACTGTGGGGGTACATATACATTACATGGTGGTGAAGGCAACGAAGGAAGACTCAATTGCGACGTTGATCGTGATTTGCGAAACACCTAATTAAGTATTAAGTTTGTTTTAGGAAGAGTGTGATGATGTGGTAATTAAGATTGGTGACATGCGATGCGAGGGAAACAAGAACAAGATTACGCTAATAAAGAAAGAAAAGCAAAAGGGGAAAAGAAAGGTATGAGGTGTAGAGATTTCCCTTTCTAGATTTTCTTTCTTTGTTTTTTTCTCCTACTGCTACGGTTCCTCCCCACCTCTGACAAATCCTCTTTACTTTGATTTGATGAGTGTTATGGCCCACGCTTTATCATGAAGCTTGGTTTTGAAAGGTAAAATTAATAATAACAAGAGTGGGGCATGGAGCCAAATTCCTCTTGGTGTGTGCCACTCTGGAAATCCGAATATGTTGCTCTAACTTCCACGATGTTGACATTCATCACCCTCATACATTCTTCTTAACACATTCTTTTTTATTAATTAAAATTTATCAAATTAAGAAAAAGAGTCGTTAAATAAAATATAAAGTTCATTGAATTTTGTATTTTTTAAAAATTTTGATCAATTAGAGAATTTTTCGCTAGTATTTTATTTTTTTTGGAAAATTTCATAGTGGGTGCCAAAGTGATTAGGGTTGATGCAGCTGCGTTAAATCTTGGGGCTAGCTATCCCACCCTTTGAGGTGAGAAGATTAGTCACTGCTGTCGGCGGTGGATACTCCAGGGACGAACAAAAAAAAGTGATTAGGGTTGGAGCAATGAATCCAGAGTTTGGGGTATGTCCATCATGTTTCTCAGGAAATTATCCCAATGGGTCTCGATTCAATTTGATTGAGAAAAACTAGGTCTAACTAATGCACTTGCAACTTCCATTCAACTCCAAGGTCTTGTCCTTTCTGCCAAAGATAATTCACATAATGAGTGCTTAAAGCTAAATGCTTATTCTTAGATTATCTCTAAAATTTGTTGCGTGTTTGGTGGACGGGGTGCACTTATTTTCAAAAACAAAAATTTATTAAAATAGTTTTTATTTTATTTTTTATAATAGTTGCATTAAGATTAGAACCTACTTGAAGTAATAGCATAAATATTATATTACTTATGACAAATTTAAATTAAATTTACTTCTAAAATAGAGTCGTTTGAACATAAATTGTATGACCTTAAAATTGTAAGTTTTGAAACAAAGATCACATGAAATAAAATTTATAAACACGCATTCGATAACAAATTTTATAGATTGTTTTAGAAGTTAGGTTTGCGCGCAACTTAACTCCAAAAGTTAATTTAAAAAAAATAGAAACATTTCATTTAGATAAACTATTTTGATTGTATTATTAGTTAATATATAAAATTTTCAACACGTACGATTCCAAGATCCAAATGAAGAGTTTTCAAGTCATTAACAGAACAGGTGATTTAATAGGTTTGACAATAACTAAAAAAATATAGTTTAATATTAGTTTAAAATTTATATAATTGTAACTCAACTTTAAAAATAAAAATCGAATATTATCCCCTTTTTAAATATATTATTTTATTAATTCAAATAATTTGATATTTATATTTTTAATTAAAAATTAAAGTTTAATTTTTATTTTGAATATAGAATTACAATTAGAAATATCATTCTATTCTTATAAGAGTTGATGTGGTGAGAATATATATATATATTTATATTTTTAATTAAAAATTAAAGTTTAATTACATTTTTATTTCATTTTATTTTATTAATTAGTCCAAAGAATGTTATACAATCAAGAGTTTAGGTTGGTGAGTGTGTTTTAGAATGTATTCAGTAGAAAGCAACAAAATTAAGAAATAAGGTGAAGAAATGTAGAGAAGAGAGAAATAAATGAATAAAAATGAATAAAAAATAAAAATGTTAATTATTTGATAGAAGAAAATAGGTGAAAAATAATATTATATTTATTTAATAAAATAAAAATATATGAAAAATAAAATATACAAAAAATAAGAGAAAAATGAATAGATAAATAAAGTAAAAAGAAAGAAATAAAAAATAAAATAAAAATATTTTCGAATAAAAAAATTTCTATTCGAATGAAAGTTCTAAATCCGATTTGTGTTCAAATGTTATCGAAAATGTATTCAAATAAAATTTAATTTACTTAAATAAATAAATAAATAAATTACATGAGTAACAGTTTCAATAACATGTTATTTGATCATGTATAACATTTATTTAAATAAGCATATTTTTTAAGTGTATATTATTTATTTCAAAAAAAATATGAGGCTCACACCTATCTTTATTTCTTTAGTGATAAATTTTGAACCGTCTAAATTGTAAAGAAGCTTGGATTTTTATTTTTTACCTATGTTATACCTCCTCTTTATTTCTTTAGTATTTCTACTGTATTAAACGCAGCGTTTTTAAAACCATAGAAATGACTTAGCATGATGTATATATTTATTATAGATGAGTGAAAGTGAAAGATGAAAAACATGTTGATTTGACACGTAGACCTCTCTGCTTGTCCCTGTCTTATTTTCGCAATATATAGCTACACCAAATTTTATTATATAAAATTAAGTTTATAATTTTTTTTACAAAATTTCAAAATTATTTAATATTTCATCGTACAAGTTTAAATCAATATAATGTACCTTTATATATACATTAATTTAAATTTAAATTTAAATATATTTTAAGTTTGTTAAATTTAAGATAAATTTATTTTTTGATTCAAATTAAAATATTTTTTTATTTTATGTAATTTTTAAAATCTTATTTTAGTTTCTTAGGTTATTTTAGTTTACTAATAAATACATCAATATGTAAATTTTATATGATAGTGTTTAATAAATTATTTAGTAAAATTTGTGTATAAAGATTAAAATAAGATTTTTTTGAAATTATAGAATTAAAAAAATTATTTTAAATTTGAGAAATTAAAAATAAATTTAATTTAAATTTGATAAATTAAAATCACAATTAAATTTTTGAATTTATGTAACAAAGTATTAAATAATTTTTAAATTTTATAAAAATTTATCCATTTATAGATTAATAAATTTTAATTTAACAGTTAAATTGTTAAATTTTATTATATATTGTAAGTTATATATTGAGTGATGAAAAAAGACTATATTTCCTTATTATTTTTGTAACAAATTCGCCTCAATCTTGTTTTGTTATGTTAACATGTAATTAAGTTCATAATTTGTCTCGGTTGATCTTTGTCAAGTACAAGGAAATAGAACATAGTACTCATATAATTTTTTTTTAATAGAACTCATATAGAAATAATCTTATTTAAGTTGAGTAAAATTATTATAAATAATAAAATTATCTTTATAAGTATTTAATATAATTCTCTCCTTTAAACTCAAATTTAACACTATTAGTTAAGGTGAAAGGATCCAATTCTAATTGATTCTCGTGTTAATCCATAAAGTAATTAGTTGTATGTGCATGATTCATCAAATTCAATTAAAAACATATATTTACATTTTGTATACAAATTAAATAAAACTAATTTTCATGAGTAGATAAAGTTGTGTGATTGCTATATAGTTTTATAAACAAATATCATAAACGTATTAGATATAGTGATTAATTAGTCATAATGGTTTGACCATTTGATGGAATTTTCATTATGATAAAGCTATCTAGGGTTCTTTATATGGGTTTTTAACATGTGGGGTCTCTTTGACATGTGCCATAAGTATATTAAGCCTCCTTAAGAATCCCTTTTGCACCACTCGCCCTAAGGAAAAAAGGAAATTTAATGATAATAGGCTATAATTGCTGCTTCCCATGAGCTAATTCTCATCAATGTGATTTTGAGATGTGAAATCATAGGCATAAAAATCACAAAACTTTAACACAACAATATAATTCAATTAAGGATTTCAAAGTACTCCTCTCATCAATGTGATTTAGAGACTCAGCTGCTTTTAATCAATTTTTTCGGTACTCAAGCTGCTACTCTCACCAATATTTTTCGCCTTAACTGCTTTAATTAACTCCAGCTTCCATACAATAAGTACATAATAACACTTTTAAATGAAAAATAAAATAACAGTTATAAAACTGAAAAAAAAAAAAACATATCAAAAAATAGGTGAATCAGTAATTTTTTTCTTCCTCTCACTTGTAAACATGATCTATACAGAATTTTAAAATTAACGATCAAAAGTTAATTTACATTTTGAACATAATTTTTATTGTTCAATAATTATTTTAATATTAACAAGAATCGATTATGAGAGTATCAAATGATGTTGCCTCATTGTCATTCCTATATTTAAGTTTGGTGTTAATTTTATTCATAAAATATTACATTAGTTAATTGATTTAGCCTACTTAAAAAACTATGATCAATTTAATCCCCCAATTAGAAACTCTTGCTTTAATGATTTGTATTTAAAAATAATAATTTAAAATTTACTTCCCATTATCTAGGTTGAACCCGATCAAGGGGCAAGAATCTTCCTAATTCTTTCTTTGTTTTTTGGGCTGTACAAAAGGTAAGTTTTGTCTAGGGCTCACAAAAGTTAGGACAAATATTTTTAAACTCGATGAATAGTCACATATTATTTATTAATAAAGTCTTCACATAAATAGTAAAATTTGAATTCATGTGTTTATAAGATGAGTAATTTTTTTTAATTGCTGATGACTTTGCTACTACTTTTCATATTGGTATACGTGGCCCGACATTTTTATAGATAAGCCTAATTTTATTGATTGAAATGTTTGTTCATGTACACACGTAACAAAATATGTTCACAATAAATATATTTCA